TTTTAGCTTGTGGCTTGTGCAGATTTTTGTTAGGGCTTTGGGGATGGCGTTGGGGACTTTGGGGACAGCGTTGGCCGTGCCTCAGGCTCGTGACACCTCTGTCCCTGCAGAACTTCGCCAGCTACGATGTCTGCAGCATCCTCCTGGGCACCTCCACGCTGCTGGTCTGGGTCGGGGTCATTCGTTACCTCACCTTCTTCCAGAAGTACAACGTGAGTGACAAGCGGGGAGGTGACCTGGGAACCCAGGGGACAATTTCCAGCTCTGGGAATGGCCCTGTCACCCTGGTCCTGAGCGCCCGGGCAGGTTTGGGCCCATCCTACAGCTGCTGCGTGTCCCCAGGGACCTCAGGGTCTCACGGGATGCTTTAACCGCTGTTGGGTCTTCTCCTGCCGACCCCTTCGGTGGAAGACGAGGGTTAATTCCGACTGCTTTTCGTCCGCCAGATCCTCATCGTCACCCTACGAGTGGCTCTCCCCAACGTCATCCGCTTCTGCTGCTGCGTCGCCGTCATCTATTTGGGCTACTGCTTCTGCGGGTGGATCGTTTTGGGCCCATACCACGTCAAGGTACTGCTCCGGGTCGGTGGTTGGGATGAGTTTCACCCACCTCTGGACGATTCCTTGCCCGGATTTGGGAGGAGATGGTTGCGGGGCCGATCCCCGTTTTTGGCAACGTGGGTTAGATACGGCGCTGCTCTTTGCCGTAGCCGTGCCACCACGGCATCGCGGTGGCATGGAGGGTGTCAAGAAGCGTTGGCTCCTTGTTTGGGAGCTTCCAACACGGTGGTGAAAGGGGTGACGCGGTGACTTGAGTCGCTTACCAACCCTTTGTCACCTCCCATCCCAGTTCCGATCCCTTTCCATGGTGTCCGAGTGCCTCTTCTCCCTCATCAACGGGGACGATATGTTCGTTACCTTCGCCGAGATGCAACAGAACAGTTATTTGGTGTGGCTCTTCAGCCAGATCTACCTCTACACCTTCATCAGCCTCTTCATCTACATGGTCCTCAGCCTCTTCATCGCCCTCATCACCGGCTCCTACGAAACCATCAAGGTGAGGCCGGATCCTCTCGCAGAATCACAGAATTTTCAGAGTGTGAAGGGACTCACGCCGAAGCCACCAGGATGCGCACGATGACACCCCGCCACGGGGACACGTGACAGCGCAGCGCCATGCCCACCCCACCGCCCGACCTTTGCTCTGTCCCCGAGGGAGCGGGTGCCATGGCGGTGGCCTGGGCTCTGGGTCCCCTGGGAGCGGTGGCCATCGGCACCCTTCTGCTGGCCCTGCTGCTGAGGTGGCTTTGGGACACCGTGGTCACCGTCACCCGCTTCCGGGCCACCTGTCACCAACTGTGC